CCGGCCGGCCGAAGTGGGCACCGCGGACCCTCGGCCGGCCGGGGACCCGCCCGCAGCCCCTTCCTGCGCAGAGCCGCTCTTCCTGGGCTCCGGGGAAGTCCTTGCTTGGGAAACCGGAGCGCTTTAGCAAAGCTCTGGAGCGCCTGCGCGGCGCGCTCCTTCTGTGAGGCTTGGGGCTAGAAGTTAGAGGCAGGACCCGAAAGTTTTTCTTGCGTAAAAAATTGTACTGGGTGTAACGACGCGTCCTACGGAGACGATTTAAATCTTGAAGGTCTCATCTCTGTCTCTGTCTGTCTCCTCCCCCCCCCATTCCCTTTGTCCCCTTCTCTCCCCCCTTTTTGCCCTCCCTCTGATCTCTGCAAAAGAAAAATTGGTAGACAGGGTGTCCTGGCTTGAAAAGAGACCATTAGAAAAAAAAAAAAAAGAAAGAAAAAAAGCCAGGCATATGACTCAGTGGCATCAGCGCCTGCCTGGCAAGTCCTGAGTTTGATCTTGATCCCTGGTACCCAAAAAAATCCAACAAAACCAGCAAACATCCTGACTCTTGGAGAATGATTTCATCATCACTATTTTGTTTCTTTCCATTCCAAGTAACATTTGCGTTTTAAATTTTTTTGGATGTCTCTGTTTTACAAAGCCAGCCAGTTTATTTCTGGGTACTATTTCACTGATAAATGAACTAACAGGAGAGAAACGTAATGATAAAAATCACCCCCAAATTTAAGAGTCACATGCTCTACTGACTGAGCTAGCAAGGCACCTCACCCCCAAATTAAATGAAGGCAAGATACTCAAGAGAACATAATTCAGCTGGGACAAGAAAAAAACATAGCACAATGCTTAAATCTCAGCAGATCACTAATTGTATCAGATGGAAAGGACTAGAGTTTATAATTATCACTAATATTGTAAGAATGGGACTTAAAGATGACAACCTAGCTGTCGCATTCTATTTGGAAGAGATGCATCTCGTAAAGGTACTAAAAGATTTAAAGTTAAAGGACCCAACCAATTATCAAAAAGCTGTTTAAATATTAATAGTAGACAGAAAAATAGTAGACAAAATAGATGTTATGGCAAAAAAAAAAAAAAAAGCTAAAGAAGAACATTTAACCAGGCAGAAAATGTCACTGAAATAAATTCTGAATTTATAAGCACTTACAGCATTGGCATAAACTGACAGCTCAACCGGGAGGCGAACCTGCACAGGGTGAGATGTTACCATATCTTTCTAGAAACTGAGATAAAAAGCAGACAGAAAAAAATCAGTAAAGTAAAGAAAATGGGAACTCTGTGCTGCAGGAGGAAGAACCCAGGCCTCTGGGAGGCTGTTGAGTGGGACAGGATTGGCATGTAACAAAGAGCTCAAGATTAGGGCCGTGTTCTCCTGCCTGCTGCCTTGCTGAGGACGCAGCAAGGAGGCATCCTTCGTGGGCTGAGAACACCCCAGCCTAGAAGGTGACTGCAGAGAAAGCTGTTGGTTTCCCGGAGGAAAGTAATAAAGCATTTGTTGGGCAAACAGCTATCCTTCCTGTACCTTTTGTCTGAACAACCCCAGGGGGCTGGAACACAGCCTTCCACTGTAGTCTGCAGGAAGAGAAGGTGCTAGGGACCAGAGTGTCCTGCTAGCCAGCAAACCGCTTTGTTTTGCTGGGGGCTCCCAACATCCTTCCTGCCTGCTAGCAGTGGGAGCGGGCAGGCTTGGTTGCCTGAGGTTATCTTGGATTGAGAGCAGGTTACTCCAGAAGCGTCACTGGATGCCTTGCTGTCCCATCAGAGTTGTGGCTGGCTTCTCTGAGGTCTGTGTGTTCAGGTGATAGTGAAGCAGGGAAGAGGCTTTCAAGTGCTGGCAAAGGTGTCGCTCCTGAAGAGGCCTTCGCTGCAGTCCCAGAGAAGGCTGTGCTTTTTGGGCTCTGCAGTGGGCGGATGTCTGTCATGCTCCTGGATGGGCCAGGAATTCCTTTGTTACACCCATTTATAGGTCCCATTCACCTGGTATTTCTGGGGTGTGTTACATTGGATAAAATACTTCTTGAGAATCGGAATTATGGTGCATGGTCAAACTTAGTCTCATTTGAACCTCTTTCATTTGTAGTTGCATCTCTGACAATGTCACGTACCCTGTGGATGATGTGGCTCTTGGAGGTCATGATCAGCCCTTCCAGCGAGGGGCCCCTGGCTCAGCCTTTCCTGTCTTGTGACCCGGCTGGTGTCTGTGATGGCCGTTCCAGATCTTTCACCTCCATTCCCCCAGGGCTGTCGACCTCTGTGAAAAGGCTGGATCTGTCCAACAACAAGATCTCCTCGGTGGGCCGTGGTGATCTGCAGAGATGTGTGAACCTCCAGGCTCTGGTGCTGAAGTCCAGCGGCATTCACACCATAGAGGAGGATGCCTTTGTCTCACTGGGCCATCTGGAGCATTTGGACTTATCGGAAAACCACTTGTCTAATTTGTCATCCTCTTGGTTCCGTCACCTTTCCTCCTTGACATTCTTAAACCTACTGGGAAATCCTTACCAAACGCTTGGTGAAACATCTCTTTTTCTTCACCTCACAAATTTGCGAATCTTGAGGGTAGGAAATGACGGCTTCACCATGATGCGAAAGACAGACTTTGCTGGCCTCAGCTTTCTCGAGGAACTTGAGATCAAAGCACCGAAACTCCGCAGTTACGAGCCACAAAGTTTAAGGTCAATTCAGAACATTGGCCACTTGGTCCTTTGCTTGAGACAGCCCCACCCACTGCTGGAGATGTTTGTAGATATTTTAGGTTCAGTGGAGCACATGGAACTGAGTGATACCGATTTGAGTTTGTTCAGCTTTTCAGAGCTGTCAGTCAGTGGCACAAATCCATTGCTGAAGAAGTTTACATTCAGAAAGGTGAGCATAGCTGATGAAAGTTTTAGTGTAGTTGTGAGACTGATGGCTTATGCCTCTGAGTTATTAGAGGTAGAATTTGAGGACTGCATTTATAATGGGGTCGGAGATTTTAGGGCCTCTGAGATACAAGAAACATATCCCAAAAAGGGAGAAACGCTAACAATTCGGAGGTTGTCTATTCCAAATTTCTACTTATTTAAAGACCTCAGTAATGTATATTCACTTGTAGGAAGAGTTAAACGAATCACACTAGAGAACAGTAAGGTTTTTCTGGTTCCCTGTTCACTTTCACAACATCTGAAGTCATTAGAATACTTGGATCTCAGTGAAAATTTGATGGTCGAAGAACAGTTGGAAAATTCGGCCTGTGAGGGGGGCTGGCCGTCCTTACAGACCTTAATATTAAGGAAAAACCATTTTACAGAAATAGGAAAAACTGCAGAGGTTTTGCAGAGTCTACACAACCTAACCAGCCTGGATATCAGTAAAAACAGTTTTCATCTTATGCCTGCAGTTTGTCTGTGGCCAGAAAAGCTGAGCTATTTGAACATATCCGGCACACAGATCCAAGGTTTAACCAACTGCATTCCCCCCACACTGGAAATCTTAGATGTTAGCAACAACAATCTCAACTCACTTTCTCTGCATTTGCCTCAACTGAAGGAACTTTATATTTCCAGAAATAAGTTGAAGACGCTCCCAGACGGCTCCAGGTTACCCACGTTGCAAGTTTTGAAAATCAGCAGGAATATAATAAGTGCTTTCTCCAAGGAGGAGCTGGATTCCTTCCACAGCCTGAAGACCTTGGAAGCTGGGGGCAACACTTTCATCTGCTCCTGTGACTTCCTGACTTTTGCGCAGGGGCAGCTGGCGCTGGCCAAGGTGCTGAGCGACTGGCCTGCTGGCTATGTGTGTGACTCCCCAGCCCACATGCGTGACCAGCTGGTCCAGGACGCGCGGCCCTCGATCTCCGAGTGCCACCGGGTAGCACTGGTATCTGTGGTGTGCTGCGCATTTCTCCTGCTGCTCCTGCTTCTGGGGGTCCTGTGCCACTGTCTCCATGGAGTGTGGTACCTGAAAATGATGTGGGCCTGGCTCCAGGCCAAAAGGAAGCCCCGCAGGGCTCCCCGCAGCGACATCTGCTATGATGCCTTCGTGTCCTACAGTGAGCGGGACTCTTTCTGGGTGGAGGAACTGCTGGTCCAGGAGCTGGAGCACTCCGAGCCCCCCTTCCGCCTGTGTCTGCACAAGCGGGACTTTGTCCCGGGAAAGTGGATCATCGACAACATCATCGACTGCATTGAGAAGAGCCGCAAGACGGTGTTTGTGCTCTCCAAGAACTTTGTGAGAAGCGAGTGGTGCAAGTACGAGCTGGACTTCTCCCACTTTCGCCTCTTCGATGAGAACAACGATGCCGCCATCCTTGTCCTGCTGGAGCCCATCGAGAAGCACGCCATCCCGCAGCGCTTCTGCAAGCTGCGCAAGATCATGAACACCAGGACCTACCTGGAGTGGCCCACCGAGGCTACGCAGCAGGGAGCCTTCTGGACAAGTCTCAGAGCGGCGATAAAGTCCTAGGTTCTTGTGTGAAGGCCCATTTCCACTAGCTGGGGTTGTGTTCAGGTGACGTAGTTGTACAGAGCACAGGAACGCGCCACTGTCAGATGACTGGCCTACTAAGACTGCAGTTCTATCTTGAGAGCTCTCTTATAAAAACTGTGACCAGGTTTTTGAACATGGCTTTGGTTTTCCATTCATCTAGGAGATCGTCATGCCCTAAGTCCACACTTGGTGTCTGAGTAATGTGTAGCAGTTGGCTTAGTCTACCAGGGAATGGCACAAATGGGCTCAAGATTTCAAATGCCTTGCACTGTTGGCTTTCTGCAGACTCCTGTCACCTCTCTAGAAGCTGATCTCAAGATCAACATGGCAGAATATCGGAGGGCACTCAGCCAAACTTGCTGCTATTCCTAGAAAAAGGGTAGTGTGTTCCCAATGACACTTTTCAGTATGCGAAGTCCGTAGCAGGTTTTCAAGGAAACTGTCTTTCTCGGAATTTGATTGATTTGCCTAGCCACAGTTACGGGAAAGAGCGTGTAACACAAGAGACAGCAAGCTTTGTCTTTTATTTTTGTGGTACCAGGGATTGAACTCAAGGCCTTATGTTTGCCAGGCAGGCACTTATGCTACTGGGCTGTAATCCCTGGCCCAGCAAGCTGTGTCTTACCCTCAGAACAAAATCACTGTGATAAATAAAAGATTTAGTTTGGAAGAATTTGAAAATAGTCTCCTACATCAGGACTCTGGTCTCCCTCAGCTTCGGGCTACCTATTGATTCCTAATTAGTGTCTGGTTGGTCTCTCATTTCTAAGTAGTGTTGGTTTTTAATTAGTATCTAGTTACTCTTGCTCTCTGGTCCCTCACACACATCTTGTTGCTTTTCCTGCTGTGAAAGTTGTTTAATATTTAAAAAATATGACCTTTCTTCCCCTGAAAATTAAAAAAATATATGAGAACTAAATAATTTTTTTAAAATAAGAATATACCTAGAGGTTCTTTATTATAACCCAGAAGTCATTTGGTACAGTTTGAATATAGACATTGCTATCGTGTTAACTTTGATAATCAAGATTTAATAGTACATTGAATTGCAATATACCACTGTTTTTGAGGAGCCCTTTCCTGACTCTGTGCAGCTGTCTCCTGACATCTGTGAAAGGGAATGGAGGTCCTCTAAAACAGGCTCAGTTCTCAGCCAGAACCAAGTTATGTGGTTACTAGTTTCTGGGGTTAGAAAGACCTGCGTCAGTAGAGATGCGTCCTCTTGGCTCGATCTGCCCTGTCTTTAACATGGCGACAGTGCTTTCTGTAGGTTGAGGCCCAGGGGTGTGCAGCGCAGTGCTCCACCCAGCCCGCGTGCCCTGGGACATGTTTTTTTTCAGCAGGGGGTGAGGATGGGGAGGGCACCAAGCCTGTGAGCGTGGGGACCGTGCGTGTGCACATGTGAAACAGGAAAGGTGCCTGTAGTGGATGTCGGGAGGTGGCATGTATTTTCCTGGGAGTCATTAATTTCTTTTTATATTATGGCTTATGAGTGGATAGTATTCTGTTATAGATACTAGCAGGGATGTAAGGGACCTTGGCATCTAAGCAAAATACCCTAAAAGAAATCAGTTAAGTGCCCATCAGGCTTTAGTCCTAGAGAGCTCATGTGGAGCTTCCCGTCCATACACAAGCCCAGGAGGATGTGGTGGAGGAGACCACAAAAAGCCGAACAAGTCCAAAAGAAGGACGCCTGAAGACACGCCCAGAAGCCCAGCACGATAGTGAACTCTTTATGTTCCCATTTGTGACATTAGCACCACATTAAGTGTCATGACACCAAATAGAATTAACCTTGATGTGATCTACACACTTAACTCTGAGAACATAAACAGCTACAGCAATAGCTTCATAGTTCACAGATTTAAAATTACCTTTTTTTTTTTTTGCTTCTGGGGGATTGAACTCAGAACCTTGCGCTTTCCAGGCAGGCACTTATGCCACTAAGCTATATCCCCAGCCCTAAAATTACCTTTAGAATATTCTTGATTTTTCTTACTGCAAAGGTTAAACACTTTCACTATGAGAATTTTGGAAAAAAGGAACACAGAGAAGAAACTAAGAATCAGCTCTTAGCCCATCACCCGGAGTAACCGCTGTCAACTTCGTAGTGAGTAACTGGCCAATATTTTTTCAATGCGTATGTACATGCTACTTTACAAAATTAGGATTAGACTGTAAATATTCTAAACATACAGAAATTGTACCTTCATTATTTTCTCTGAGATTGCTAAGTGCTTGCTGAGCAGTGTTTTGGGGCACACACAAAGGCCGGTGTTTTGGCAGTTGGTCCGCAGCCTGTGGCACGTTGGGAGGTGGCGGAGCGCTTGGTGGGCCTCGTCAGGCTGGTCGGGGAGCCTGTCCTGGAGAGGAAGATGTGCAGAGGCCTTTCCTTTTCTGTCCCCTTTGTGTCCACCAGCAGGGAGAGCACAGGTTTCCTTGGGCACATGCTCTTGCCTTGGCGTATGGCAGGCCTGGAGCAACAAAGCCTACCAACCACAGGCTGAATGTGCTAAGACTGTGAGCCAAAAGAAACCTTTCCTCTTTTTAGGCTGATTATTTCAGGTATTTGTTACAGTAATGGAAAGCTGACAAACACACCGATTGTATAACATTGCTCAATGGTGAGGGCCATTTTGAATTCCAGACAGATAAACGCTGCTTGCTCTGCCCGGGGTATAAAGAAAGCGTACTAGAAGCTACCTGCATGCAGTTAGCTAGAAATGGTAAGTGCCAGAAAGTTAGAGATCAATATGGGGCCTTCTATTTTTATTTTTTTTTATTATTATTTTTTTAAATTTTATTTATTTATTTATTTGTGTGTCTGTGTGTGGCCAGCTCAGCCCACCAGAGGGCGGGGCTGGCTGGCATGTGGTGCTGGGGGATTGAACCTCGGTCCCTGTGCTTTGCCAAACCTGGTCTAAGTAGGTGCTTTAGACCACTGAGCCATCTCACCAGCCCTAAGGGGCCTTCTATTTTTAAATAGCAATCATTATTTGTTGGTTATAAAGCTCTATAGATTTTATTTTGGCAGATGTACTCATAAGCATAACATTTTGGTCATTTTAATCCCCTTCCTTACCCCTTACCCAAAACTTCCCCCTAATTTCATGGATTTTTTTTTTTTTGGCTTTTATTTTGCCACGTGTATCCCCCACTACCTGCCTTTACAGCTCTTCTGATCTTCCTCTTGTCTTCTAATACTGTTTTTTTGTTTTTTTTTTTTTAACTTTCTTAGATTCCACTAGGAGATGGTCTCCAGTCAATTTTCCTGCAAATGACAGAATTTTATTCTTTCTTATGGCTGACAAATACTCCCTTGTATATCTAGACCACATCTTCTTTATCTACTTCCCTGGTGATGGGCACCTAGGCGAGTGTGGTTACTGGTTATTACGAATTGTGCTGTAATAAATGTGGGTTTGCATGTATTGCTATAATGTGCTGGCTTCAGTTGTTTGGGTGTGTACCAAGGAATGGTGTAGCTGGGTGACATGGTGGCTCTGTTTTTAGTTTACTTTAGTGACTTCCATACTGATTTCTATGGTGCTTGTTCTAAAAATTACATTCCTGCCAACAGTATCCTTTATCGTCACATCCTTTTGTTTTTGTATCCAGGGGTGAAACAGAATCTCTCGGTGGTTTTTAAGGAATTTGCATTTCCCTAATGGTGAACGATGCTGAACATTTGCCCAGTCTCAATTGCCACCTCGGTGGGCCCTGGGGGTGGGGCTGGCCCGGGAAGCCTGGGATTGAACCCCCAGCCCTGCGCCTGCTTGCAGGCACTTTAATCCGCTGAGCTATTTGGCCAGACCTTTGATACTTATCCACTATTTGTATTTTTCTTTTGAGAAATGTCTGAACAAGTCATTTGTCCTTTTACTGATTTGGCTGCTTGGTGTTTTTATGTTGAAGGTTTTGGGGGTTCTTTGTGTATTTTAAATATTAATCCTCTGTTGAGAGACTAGCTGGTAAAGATTTCACCAGCTGGGCAGAAATCTTCTAATTTGATGTGACCCCATTTATTGATTCTTGTTACTGTTTTCTGTGTTGCTGGAATCCCATTCAGGGAGTTTTAGCCTGTGCCTGGGCCTTCAGGTGTTTCCCCTGTTTTGTTATTATTTTTTTTTATCAGTATCAAAGTTTCAGGTTTTATACATAGGTCTTTTGTCTGTTTTAAATTGATTTTTGCACAGGGTGAGAGACAGGCACCTAGTCTTGGTTTTCTCCAAGTGGATATCCAGTTCGCTCAGCACCGTTTATGAAATTCACTGTCTTTTCTTTAACATATGTTTATGGCTCCTTGGTCCAGAACTTGAAGGCTGTCGTTGTGTGGGTTGGTTGTGTGTCCTGTTTTGCTCCATTTCTTCATGTGTCTATTTTTGTGTCAACAGCATGCTCATTTTGTTTCTATGTCTCTGTACTATAATTTGAAATCAAGTATTGCCGTGCCTCCAGGCTTCTTCTTTTTAAGGTTGTTTTGGCAATTTGGGGCCTTTTGTGTCTCCATATGAATTTCAGGATTGTTTTCGTAGTCCTATAGAATGGCATTGGTATTTTACTGGAGACTGCATTGAAGCTGTGGATGGCATTTGATGTGACAGCTATTTTGAAGATACTAATTCGGCAAGTCTGTGAACATAGGAGACCACTCCACTTTCTGATATCTTTATTAATGTCTTTCTTTAGTTTTTTGAAATCTTCATTGCAGAGGTCTTGCACTCCTTAATTAGATTGATTCCTAGGTACTTTATTATATTTGAAGTGATTGTGAATGGAGTTATTTTCCTAGTTTTTTTCCTCATTCATTATTTGTGTATATTAGAGCCATTGGTATGTATATCCTGCTACATTGCTGAAATCATTTATCAGTTCTAAAAGCCTTTTAGTAGAGTATAGGGTTTTTTAGGTAGCAGGTCATATCATTGGCAGAGAAGAATAATGTGACTTCTTATTTGTACCCCCATTATTTTCAGGAATTACAGTGGTCCTCAGTTCATGAACTTAATTTGTTCCACGATCCTGGGGATATGGCTACATTAGTGTTTGTGGGGGAAAGGTGGCCGTGGTCCTGGTTGACACTTCATGTTGGTTTGTGATCGGAAACCAACTTTTGCCAAGCGCATCTGTCCTTGAACTGAATGGTTCCCAAATAGATGCATTCATGAAGCCAGACATTGCCGTATAGTGAGTAAGAGACACGAGAGTAGATATTCTTGGCTTGTTCCTGATCCTATTCTTTATTTTCATTTTTTTATTTTTGCATTGGAAAGAAAAAGTTTATTATCTAGCTAGAAATTTCAATATTTTAGCAAGTCATGTTACATGTTATGTAAATCAAGGTTACTTTAGAAGCAAACCACAAATGTTCAAATACCATTTCACCTAGGTCTTATGTGTTTGACTTTTAGAATCAACATTTGGTCATTTTCAGTATTACTAATAAGTTCGATAAAAATTCCAATTTGACATTTATAACACAGGTATACAGTATGTTGAAATTCCAGCAACCTAAAGTTTTATCTACCATGTACTATTAAAATAATGAGCTAAATATTAATCTAGTCTAAATTATCTAAATGTAGAAAGAAAAAACAACTTATAACCAATAGATCCACTAAGAAATAAATTACTAAAAAGCATGGGCGACTTCCTTCCTCCATTATAAAACATCAAAAATCCCATGTAAAACTGTAGTATGTCCTAGTCAACTGAAAGCAAAAACCACTAGGTAAGAGACTAGTAAGTCTTAAAAGAGTAGTAATGCGAAAATGATCCAGTTATATTTTAGGTAGAAGTGACAAACATATTCCTTTTATTGTTATTAGTATTTCTTCCAGTGAGCTCCGGCAGCGCTGCATCTGTTCTTACCGGATCCCACTCTTGGCCATGGTCTGAGCCCTGCACACTTCCTTCCCTTTCACCTCAAAGGAAACACCCTGGTACGTGGCCACACAGTCCTCTCTGGTGTACAGGTCAGGCTGGATCTGCTCCCAAATCTTCTTTTTAGAATTTAGCTCCTTGTCAGGATCCTCTCGGAAAGCATCAAAAGTGACTGTCTCCGGGCACAGACCCGTCAGGAGGAGACAGGATTTCGACATTCTCTCCAGTGAACTGGCTCACATCGCCAGCTCCTGAGACAGGATCCCCCCCATTTTTGCAGGCTTCACATTGCAAAGCCAAATCACCATCCGATTTTGTATCTGTTCAAGAGGAGCATAATTTACTAGGCCACTGAGGACTGTTCTTGGGGCTGCTTCTCCAACATCTATTTCTTTTACATACAAAGAATCCACATCAGGGTGTTCTTTGGCATTAATGATGAAGCCAATTCGAAGATCCGGACGGGAAGCATCTACTGGCTTAGAGTCAGCACTTCCTGCTGCAGATGATGTTTCCCCTTTTTTGCTCCTTTTCTGTTTTTCCTTTCACCTTTTGTTCTCCCCCCTTTTTTATCTGTTCTTTGGCACCAGATGATACAGTTACTGGTGTAGACAGTTCTGCATTTTCAGCAGTCACAGAACTGGCTTCAGTGGCGTATGAGACGGGCATGGTATGTGGTTCACTCCATTCTGGATTTTGGCCTGAATCAGCTCCTGTTTCAGTTTTTCAATTTCTTTCTTCAGTTTAGCATTTTTTCCACTCAAACTTTTTTCTCTTCTCTCAGTGTTGCCTGCAAAATCACTTTTTCCCTGAGAAGAGCAACTTACTGTTTAAGACATTTAGTAATTTGATCTGCCTCTGCCTTCGCTTAGGTTTCTTCAGAACACTCACTGTTGTCACTGGTGACATGACTCACTGGAGTTATTTTTGCCAAAAAACAACAGAAACTCATGAAGCAGCAGACAGCAATTCCTCTATTTTTTAATAGAAAAAAAACCCTAATTTTTTGTTAGTGCTTTATCCAAATGTAAGTCCTTTTATTTAGCAACAGACCATAGGCTCAAGAGTATTGTTTTACCTCCTTATGCTTTGAAAATGCCTGCTGTGTAATAAGTAAATTATTGAAATATTTATTGAGTTGAGAAACAAAAGTTAAATCCTCTTGTAATCTAGTTGGTAAATCAATGGTAATACCGATAGGCGGGCAATTTAAAGAAAGAAAACTCCCAGTGGCTAGAAATCGTAGGGCGATTCCCTCGATGATGGAACATTGAGCAGCATCATGTTAAGCCAATATTTGGATAAGGAAAGTAGCCACCAATGTATTTCCTTCCTGCCTCATACAAGTTCAGGGACCTGGTAGGCCAGTGGATGTCTGCTCTGTGTACAGTGTTGGCTGTACAAATGATTAGTAATTTAAAGCATGTTACTTTTGGGAGTCCACTGTATCTTTCCTGATTCATTTTTTTCTGGTTCATCTTCCTTACTCAGTTCATTTTGCTCCTGCCAGGTTAATTTACTCTTTCAACACATATTTTTTGAGCTTATGTGTGGAATATTGCTTCAAGTGCTGGGTACATAACAGAAAAGAACAGATAAAATTCATTTCCTTCATGGAGTGGAAGACAAATAATAAAGATTTTATATGACTTCAGGCATCAATAAGTGCTCTGAAGAAGGCAACCAGAGTACCAAAACAATGCGTGCGAACTTGAGTGAGTGTGCAAGCACATGCGCAGTGTGAACAGAGTAACGTGGAATGCATCAGTCAGCTTCCCACCCCTGGGACAAACTACCAACATCCACACAACTTACAGGAGGAAAGGCTGCACATGGCTCGTGGCTCAGGGGATTCCTGGCTCCAGTGCAGAAATACTATGTGGAAGGACTTGGTGGAGGAAGGCGATTCTCTTCATGGCAGCCAGGAGGTAAGAGAGCAAAGGCAGGAATGTGTGTGTGTGTGTGTGTGTGTGTGTGTGTGTGTGTAGATACATCCCTTCCAAGGGATGCCCCAGTTACAACCCCCTCCTGCCAGGTCCACCTCCTCACAGTACTGTTAGCATAAACTCATTAATGGACCAATGCGCTGCTGAGCGTGGCACCCTCATGACCCAGTTATTTCCCAGAAGCCCCCCTTGAGAACACATGAATCTTTTGGAGGATCATCTAGGTCTAAACTATAACACAGAGAGAGTGATTCTGTCTCCTGGGGTGGGGTGAATCCACTCGGCATTCCCAGGCAACCCAGAGCAGTTTGGCTGCCTGAGTGGGTGAGGAGCCTGCTACATGGGGCTCTGGGCATAATCCTCGGTGTACAGTGCCACCAGCCCTGGCAGGTGGTGATGAGAACAGAGTGAGAAGGGGGTGCCCACAGACACATCGTGAGTGGAGACACAGCTTTTGCTCTCTGCTCCTTTCTGCTCACCTAAATGTACGGTTAGGATCTAGAATGCGTATCTGTTCTATCTATGTCTTTGAAGATGTGGAAATGATTAGAGGGCATGAATTATAACTAGATGTTTTCTGTGAGAAGTGCTTTATGGAGCTCAGAAACACTACACTGGTGGGCTCGCTTTGAGCCACACCTGTGGTGCAGTGACCATAGTGGGGTGTGCCACGTGGGTCATGTGGATGGGTTGGAAGATTGTAGTGGGAAAGAGGAAAAGTTGTGTTTTACTTGTTTATTTTACTATTCAGCTTCTATTTAAATTTTTTCCACAGAGACAAGTTGTTGTGGGTATAAATCAAAATTTTATTAAGTTTTCTGAACTCTTGGGATCTCTTAAAATTAAAAATAGAGCATCCATATTAAAGGTGAGACTCAAGATTTAAAAATATTTCAGCCACGCAATACATTGCTCCTGGGTTGGCGGTACTATTCTAACCCCAGTGAGTAGTTAATGCCTTGGACTATTCCTATTATCACAGGTTGCCAGGCCACCAGATAACGAAGCCAGTCCAGGATTTGCCCATACAAAAAATGTGTGCGCTCCCAGCTAAATCTCAGTTAAGGAGGTTGTTCAGTAGGCAGCCACGTGGTGGAAATTGTCACAGTTACCATGTGCAAATATCACCAGAAACACAATGAACAAATATTTCCTCTCTTGTTGATTCTATGTGCTCAATGAAAGCCCCTTTCCCACGCCATGAGGGGTGGTGGGGTCAGCGCCAGCTGCGCTGAGGAGGAGGAGGCAGGAAGATCACTGAAGCCAGGAGTTTGGGAAATAGAGTAGCAAGCTGTTGTATTTTTAATTCCTTACTTGAAAATGAAAAAAAGAGGCATCCTCTGATGGATTTTTATAACCACGTGGTTAGCATCCTTATGTGCTCCATACACAATTTCAAAAAATAAATGGAAAATTTCAGAGTAAAATCCCAACCTATTAAATGAGCATAAAAGACAAGAATGTATGTTAAAAGGAGGAGGAAGAGAGAAATGACCACGCTGGAAAGCTGGCAATGGTGGAAGCTACTGCAAATGAGCGCGGCTGAGCTCCGGGCTGCCCGTGGCCAGAACATCAGCGGGAGCTCCCGAGTATTAGGAAGAATAGCACCAGCTCACAGATGAGACATGCCTTTTCATGGTATCTCTGATAAATTTGCAAAGAGAAGTTAACTGATACATGTTAATACATACCATTAACTAATACGTAGCATCGCTGATAGCAATTTTGCCCACAAAGAGCAGTTTTTTCATAAATAATGTTTCCTTATACTGAGTTCAATAAAAATTACTTGTAATATTCAGTAGCTTATTCTCTCCAGTTTATATAAATAAACAAGTCACTCTTCATAAGAAACAAATCACCTTTGCTATTTATTTATTTATTTATTTATTTGGTACAGGGTCTTGCTACGAAGCTCCAACTCATAGTAATCCTCCTGTCTCAGCCTCCCCAACGCTGGGGTTACAGGCATGCACCACTATGCCTGGTTTCAGTGGCCACGGCATGGGGTACCATGGATTGAACCCAGGTCCTTGCACTCGCCAGGCAGGTGCTTAGACCAATGAGCAATCTCCCCAGCCTCCCTTGCTGTTATTTAAATTATCATTTAAGGTGACATTTGTGATCATATAATCACTAATTTTATAACAGAGTGGTTTGCACTGGGGTCTCATAAATTATTACCCCCAAGCTCCCTGGACTGAGAGTTCTCTTATGAGAGAGGGAAAGTAGGGATGGGAAGGAAGTGGTCAGAAGGCCAGGTGTGGGGAGCATCTCTCTCCTTCAACCTTGAGTGAGGTCTCAGTGGTACCAATTACCAACAGAAACTAGGCACAGGGAAGGAGCAGGGCTCTGCAGGGTGGTTTCTGACCCACTGAGCTGGCCTGCTTCTTTGATACCACCAAGAAAGTCCCTGATTTGTGGTGCTCAGTGACTGCTGAAAGTGACCACCACTGAACCATGCATTCAGGGCTGATGAGCAGAAAGAGGCAGGGAGCCGGGAATGTATCTCTCTGAGCACTGTGGGGTTCCGGTGCTGAATAAACCTAAGCACAAAGGGCCTATCTTTTAGGACAGGAGAGAATACGTGGTAGGTTGAGGCCAACAACTCTGCGTGCTCTGGCCTCTGCCCCTCTGGAAGGGATGCCATGGTCTGAAGACAGAAGTAGAGGACTAAGTCTTTCTGGCTTTGGATAAAACTATCACATTCCTGTGATCTAAATGAGACTTGGATTGATTGAGTTGGGCATCTCCAGTATCTGTGCAAATTTAGTTGGCGGCATAAGTAGACAAAGTCTCTGTCCTTGTTCCTTCCCAGTATCATTATCATTTGGCTTTAGCCTTAGAAGATAGTAAGTATGCTAAAGAGCCTCTAAAACTAAAGTCCAGGATGAGGAGAAATCTACTTATTTCTGATACTAATAAAACTTGGTGCATTGTAACATATTTCTCTGTATTGTAGTTCACATTTGGGACTTTTACATTTCAATTCTAATGTACTTGTTGATCCATCCATCCATCCACTCACCCATTCAGCCATTCATCCAACAATTCATCCACCTGTCTTAATTATTCTTATATATAATACCTATATTTTTTGCAATGTCTCATCACATTGTCACCAAGCCTACAATGTGGAGTATATGAAACATAAGTAGTGGAATGGCTTTTGGCATTTAATTTCCTAAAGAATACGTGCAGATGAGAAAAGAGAACTTTAGCATTTGGAAATAAATTTTTGAAAGAAGTTTTCTGCTGAAACCATAAACAGATAATGACAATTCAGATGGAAAAATGCATCCCTAGAAGCAATAAAGATAGTATTTTGTAACACTTATTAAAAGGATACGGGTTACTGATCATCCTCTTCAAGTCGACCTTCTCTTTGCAGTAAGGGCAAGTCTGCTTTTTACCAATGATGCACCAACCTCGAATGCAGAATTCATGAAAGCTGAGGCACCTTGTTAGGGAAGCTTCTAGATACTAAAGGGCAATGTCTGGTTCATGGTGACAAGGAAACGACCCCACCCATGCAGTCTAGTAGCAGGGGGCGAGATGCAGCATCAGTCCTGGCTTCATTCACACATCGCTTGTTCAGGGAGATTCTATGGGACCAAGACAGTGAATATGCAGAAGGTGCCACATTCCCTTCCTTCCCTCCCCTCCCCTCTCCTCCTTCTCATCCTTGTCCTTGTCCTTCTCTCCTTCCTTCCTTCCTTCCTTCCTCCCTCCCTCCCTCTCTCCCTTCCTCCCTTTGCCTGCCTGCCTGCCTGCCTCAGTCTCTCCAAATACTGGGATTACAAGTGAGCATCCCTACCACCCCTCGCACCTGTGTTAGCTTCCTGACCCTGAGGAATTTGTTTCGCTTTTTACCATACTTGTCCTTACCTCATTTGATTTCAGAGAGTTTGACAAAGAATATGAAGATGACAGTAGTGTGTCATGCAAATGCATCCTATTTCCCTTACTGTGCATTTCTGTTGAGTCACCAGAGCATCTCCAATTCTACTTTTGTGCATTATTTGTTAACCTTCTGTGTAATCAGATTTGTCTTAGGGACTCAGATGAATTCAAACTATTTGTAGTCATAAGTTTAGAGATTTTCTTTTCTTTGTTTTTATTTTTGTGTTGGGGACTTAACTGTATACTAAGCATCATTGCTGAGCTTTATACCCACTCATAAACTTACAAATATATCTATTAACTTCTTAAATGTTTTTGCTTGGACTTTTAGAATTGCTGATAAAGAGACAATTTTAATAGAATATGATCCTCCTAAACTTAACCTCTCAAACTATAGGTATTACAAATTTATCTGTATACATCTTCTATTCTAGAAAAGTCTGATTCTTTATTGGACTGAAATAAACCCTGTACGAGTTATCCCAAAGTGTCATGGTCCTCCGTGTCCTTACATTCTCTCCCAAGTCCCACAGGACCTGTGGGACCAGGCAGCATTCATGTATGTCCTCAGCAACTTGAACAGGTGCCCAAGGAAAATTTATGGGCTGAATATTTGAATGAATGAATCACTTGACATCAATTATACTTGGAAACAAATATTTATAGATTCCCTAATATTGCAGATTTGGGTAAACTGGTTCCTAGCGCTAGATCCATCCTATGGATCTATTTCTACGTCACTGTTCTCAGGGTGGCCTTCAGGGCCGAGATCACATGGCCTCTGACCCACGTGCCACACCTGCGTGTGTGCTGATGCAGAGGGCTCCTCACTAAGAAGCAGGCTAGTGGAGGTGCAGCCCAGCTACGGCCGTGTATACGCCCCCAGACTAGCTCTCTCTGAAGCTGAGCACTTCCACTGCTTTATGCTGTTGGGCTTGGGGCTCTTTCTACCGTGCGCTTAGATTAACGTAAGATGGCATTGTACAAAAAGCTTTTGAATGAAACCCACACAATCTTTCATTCAAAAAAGCTGGGGTACAACCTTACCTTCCAGACAGGCATAGAGTCCAGGGGTCATAAAGCCAGCCCTGAAATGTCCACACTGTCTTTCATGTGCCCTTTTATCTTCGAAATCTCCATGTAAAAAACAGGCAACCTGGCCCATCTGCCTTGGAACACTCAACAATCCCTCCTTGTTAATACGACCCATGTTAGCTCCCTCATCACTGACGTGACTCATGCCCAAATGGACCATTAATAATGCTCCCAGCAAAGCAAATTTAAAGGTGACTACGCTTTCTATTACATATGCACACATGTACAACAATCCCTGAGGGCTTTTAAAGGTGGAGAGAGAAAATATTTCCACTGGCAGATCACAGAAGGGGCTCTGTTCCAACCTTTGAAAAGTAAATCATACTTAAAATGAGGGCCAGACTTGGAAAATCCTTACTAGGAATGATAGTTTTTTGGGACACTGAAAAACTGCTATAGAAATCTATACAGGAGTATCTCTGTATTTTTTCCCTTTAAACGTTAAGACTTAAATGCAGGAGAAAAGGCTCCCATTGCGTTTGACATGTATTTGGGCCAGTGTTTGACTCTTGTATTGGGTAAATGGAAACTGTCCAGATTAAACAGAATTGGATAGAAGCACCGCACACCAAGGACATTAGGTAGTACTGACCACGGCAGAGGGACTTGGGTGAGCAAACCCAGCTGGCTCGGCCATCTCATCCTGCCAGAGATTTGATCTGAGCAGGGATGTAGAGATAGTGCAGAGACAGTGCACTATAAAATAAACATGAATGGTGCTGCTTTTTTATATTTGGGAACAAATTTAGATGTCGATTATTGGCCAACCCAACCACTCCAGCATTTACAGTGCCACGCTTGGGCAGCGCGGGCTGCTCTGTTCAGGTGTCTAATGCCAACATTTTTCCATACTCTGAAGCTTTTCTCAAGGCTTCCAGAAGTTCCTGAACGGTGTTGGGTGTGGGCTTGGGGCTGCAACCTTCTTTGTGGCACTCGAGACCTCTTTAAAAAGAAAAGGACCCAGGGGAGGGTTTTCTTAATTAGCAGTATGTTATTCAGCAGGGCTTGCCAGAAAGCCTCAAGAATAAGATGAATCAAAATGCGAGGTGTGGGACTGCAGCAGAGGAACCGTGGGGACTGGAGCGAGCAACACCCAGTGGACAGGGATGGGGGAGGACGAGAGGGGCAGTTGGGGCTGAGGGAGGCCCCAGGGCTCCTGCGGAAAGGATACACGTGGCTACAAGAGAGCTGGTAGGTGTTCTCAATAAGCCCTTCCTCAGCGAGCCCCACGATGATCTTCTGCCCACAGACAGCGCAGATGTCTTCAGACAAGCTCCGGGTGGGCATCCCGCTGACGCTGTAGAACTGTCAAGAAGAACAGCGTGCTGTTGGGGAGCAGCGCACACGCCGTTGTCGCTTGCAGGTGCGGGGACAGACAGCTGTTGGGCCGCGGAATCTTTACTGCTTCCCAGCTGGCTTGGACCCCAAGACACCTGATCCTGTAGAACAGCGCCACAGAGAGGGGAAGCTCTGCAGGGAGTCCCCAAATCCCAACGATGCAAAGGGCATTGCTGAGCGTAACCCCCCTCACGCCTCCGCGCTCAGGATCTGGGCGGGAGGAACAGCTGTACCCAGAGCAGCGCGTCAGTCCACCCAGGAAGCTTCGCATTTCCCTGATTGGCTCCATTGCCTTCATTCCCCTGGAGATTCTGATTCAGGGATCTGGAGACAATCCAGGCATGTACCTACTTTTTAGAAATGTCCATGTTCTCATCGCATGCACACAAATGAATCACTCCGAGAAGGCGATGGACACATTTAGGGTTATGACTTGGGATAGTGGCATCTTCCACTGGATAAAGGGTGGTTCTGACCATTGGCAGCACATTGGAATGGCTAGCAAGTTTTTCTAAACTAAAATTTTTGCTTTACAATATTTTATAGTATTCAACAATAGCATGGAGAATATCACAGTGTTCCATCCCTGTTTCTTCTATTAAGTTTTTTCTTTAATTTTTAAAATTATGTACTTGGTATAGGGTCTCACTATGCAGCTTGGACTCAGTGATCCTCCTGTCTCAGTCTCCCCAGTGCTGGGATTACAGGCGTGTGCCACCACACCTGGTTTCAGGGCCTGCATGGCATGCTGTATCGGGAATCGAACTTGGGGCCTTGCACTTGCCAGACAGGCACTTAGACTGCAGAGCTATCTCCCTGGTCCTGTTTCCTCTATTCCTATCATCAGATTTATTTTAAGGGATTGCCACACACAACTGTGGTGGCTGGCAGTTATAGACCTTCAGGGCAGGCTAGCAGGAGCTACGGAGCAAAAGCAGTGGGGAAAGCCCACTAGCACATTGTGGCCCTCTCTGGTGCCCTCAGCAGAATTTCTCCCTCCCTCTCAGGCCCTTGGTTGATTGGATGAGATCTGTCCACATTATCAAGGGTAGTCTGCTTCACCTGGAGCCAGCTGGTTACAGATGTTAGTCATAGCCATCAAATTCCTTTTCGGCAACATCTGGGCTAGTGTTTAGTAAACAACTTGGTAAACAGACAAGGAAAACTTAATCACACTGTAGGCAGTGTCTTCATCAATTATGTGGAATTCTTAGGAATGAATTTATCTCTTTTCCATATATTTATTTAGTCATTTATTTATGGCAAGATGGACTCATGATTATTTATTTTGTACTTTGGGCTATAGCCCAATACTACCACTGCTACTATTTTGCTGTTGAAATCTCAACTTTGGCTATTAGGAGCTCTTTCAGTTGGCTCTTGTATCTCTGTCTTTTATCATGACGAGGGCTTTTTTTTTTTTTTTTTTTGTAGCATTTCTGTTTTAGTGGGCTTTCCATTGTTCTCACAAAATGCCAGATAAAATCAACTTGAAGCAAGGTTTAGTTTTATCTCATGGTTTCTGAGGCATCAGTCCATGGTGGGCTGGCTCCACTGCTGTGGTCTTGCGCTGAGGTGGGACATCATTGTGGCAGGAGCATGTGATAGAACAAGGCTTTCCAGCATGGAGGCCAGAAAAGAGGAAGAGCAGGGAGAGAGAATGAGAACTAATGTACTAGTGGGCTTAGCAGGCTCCTTTGCTTTCATTCCAGCCGGGTCCTGGCCCAAGGAATGGCACTGTCCACATTCAGGGCGGGTCCCCCATCTGTTGTCCCACATGCCAACTGTCCCTGGACACACCCACACATGCACACCCAGCAATGTGCTTTACTGATGTCCCAGGCATTTCTCAAACCAGTCAGGTTGACACTCAAGGTTAACCATCACAACTTTCTTCCTTGCTGGTACTACAAGATGCTCCAGGGCCTCGTGTAAGAGGAGATCAAAAC